AGTTTCAATGAGAAGATGAAGATGATTAGAGTGTAATTGATTTCAGTTCGTTTTTTTATCTTCTCTCTTTTATCTTCATTCTTGCTGAATAATCTTGTTTTCCATTGTATTCTTGATAATAAACTCCCATGTTGATAAAAGGTAATCCTTTCACTTTCTTTCACCATGTTATCCGATTTTACTCTTACTTTTCTTTTCTCTTCCCTTTCTTTGAACATGAAAAAGAAGGAAAAAAACTCATAGTAATCAAACAATTATTCAATATCACCATCTACCGAATAGCTACCATGCAAATCAAGTATAATTCTGTTCATCAGCATCATCATCATACTCATTGAACCACATATTAACTCATTTCCGTTTCCTTTATCTACTCCCTTTTATCCTCATCTTTATAATCAGAATAAAAGGAAAAATCTATTGAAACGAAACCTAATTTGTTCCAGATTATCTAATGAACTTTTTACCTCCATCAAACCTAATTCAGATTCAATGTAATCAGCTCAATTTCGTCCAATGATATCATGAGAAGTTAATTTACTCTCTCACAGTCTCTCTCTCTCTCTCTCTCTCTCTTGTGTTATTTAATTAGTTTCAATTATTTCATCGACATGTTGATAAGGTAACATTGGCAAATTGTTGGAAAAGTAAAATGATAACAATAAAAATCACCAAGGAAACAGAATAACCAATTTTCTCCAGATTATTCATTCAATTTGAACGAGAATCAACTGATTACCTATTTTTTTGTTGATTGGATTATCATTTGAAACTGATGATTATCATCATGGTAAACGAGATTTACCTTTGAGTAAAAATCTTATAAACAGAAATCATCACTAAAGTACAAGAATACAATTTCTATTCACATCATAGTATTTACAGGGAAAAGTTTTTCCCTCTCTGAGTAAACAGAATTCATTCCCATGTAGATTAAGAGATTGAAGAAACAAGCTTGAATAGGAACGTTAGAATACTTTGAGAGAACTATGAAACCTTGTTGTTAATCAAGTCGAGGTTCAGTGGACACAATAGACTTGAAAAGAACTGCAAAAGAAATATGAAATCATAAAGGAATAATAGAATAAGAAGAAAATTCGAAAAGTTCTAAAGCTAAAAGTCGAATGAAAGTTAGATGATAATACTATCTTCACTTCACCTCATAAGGATCAACTTAAAGTTTGGGTTGGGGATCATGAAAAAAAGATGAAATTCTAACAAAACTATCTCATCATGAGTGGTCATCAACATGATGACCATCCATAGATTATCATTGTAAAATTCAAGAAACATTTCTCAATATGTGAAGTCCATTTTTTTTTATTCATTGTTGACTCACTTCCTTATCCTGATAGTCCATAAGTAATAAATTGAAAGGAAGTAAGAAAAAATTTCTTCCATTCAACTATTCAAATCTCATGATCATGAAGTCAAATCCACCCGAACAATTGACTTGAAAATATATTATATTGTTATTATTACCCAAATGAGTAATAATATCAATCGCAATTGTCAATATTCAATTGTAACACCATAATAATAAAAGTCCAATCAAAATGAATTTATCATGATAATATTTTTACCCTGAAAATTACGTTATTATTATCATTATGATTCGTAATTTGTTTACGATTATCATAACTAAAATGAAACGTTTAAATTGATCAATAAATCAGTGGTATTCAAGAAAATATCTGAATGAAAATTTGTATAATAATCACCATGAATTTCAGATTCTAATACAATTACAATTTGAACGTAATTTAATATATTCAGAAGTTGAAAAGTTGATTGAAATTGTTTCGAGACTTTTCTATTAATTGTATTGACTCATTATTCTTGTTGACAATAAGATATTATTAATATTACCTATGGTCCTGGTTTTTACACCCAATTTGATGAAAATTTTAGCAATTCACATGAGAATCGTTATTCTGATATTGATTTATTTCATCAAATTTACCTTGTTGATTATGATAGTTGATCAAATTGCATCAGTTTGATTTTATATGGACGATCAATTTCACCTTCTAATATATTAGATCATCTTTAAGGTATCGATAACAACAAGGAAATGATATTGATCATGATGATGATGAGTCTCTCACCTGAACGATAAATATTATCATTATTATTATTATTATTTCTGTAAAGATGATCAACCCAAATACCAACAATTACGATAATATAAAACATCATTGTAAATACTGATCATTAAATTTGGACAATTGGTTATCGTAAATCTTTTGTTCAGTTCATTGAATTTATATATATATATATTAATATAATGGTTGTTATTAATTTGAAGATATCGATTTATTTTTCGTTATATAATAAATACACAAATTGTAGTGAAAATCAATACCTGTAGTTTAAGTAAAAAAATGGTTATCATTAATTGTCAAGGTATTGAGCAATTTAATGATGCAGTAAGATGAAATTGTAATCAAAAACTTCATCTCACAATCAATAGTAAAGTAAAAACAATCATTACTTTACCTTTAACCATCATCATGAGTTATTTGTATGAGATGAAATAATAACGGTTAATAAAAAAGCATCCTCATCAATTTTCAAATACAGAAAAAAAATTGATTACAATCTGTTGTTGGTGTTACTTTCCAGTAAGTCCAATCTAATAATGGTCAAGACAAACTGGACAATCATTATATTTATAAGTTTTGTCTTATTATTATCTTTGTTGTCTTTTTGTCCCCTTGCTTTTATCATCCAAGATAAATTACTCAGGTCAACCTATTCCTTTGACCTTAAGTGTAAAGTTGTTTATTTGTCAGTCAAGATTAAGTATCAAACTGGACATCGTTGTTTTCATTAAAGGTGATGAAATTTACTAATTGTAATCAAATTTATTTTCCTGCCCAATTGTTGGTTGACATTATTTATCAATGATAAGGAAACTTGTATGTCAATAGTATTGTTATTTATTGTAAGTTGTTTATTGTTGGTGGTGGTGATTGTGATTGTGATAATCTCATGTTCAACTTGTTGGTAAACATTTCAAATGATTTATAAACTATTATAACAACGATACTAATCTAATATATACTACTCATGGTACTTGACAATTTCCAATAAGGAATAAGGTGAAAATGAAAAGTTCCTAACTGAATTTTTGAAATACTTCAATACATTACCTACAAGATTGACTTTTACTTTTTCTTTCATGGAGATCATCATTTACCTGAGTTCTTTTATTATCTTCATTATCATTTATATACTTTGATATATATATATTTTGTATTAAAATTCCTTGTTAATAGTCAACAATGATTTCCATTCTAATCATTATCATCATTAACTTGATGATGATAATATTGATATCATGGAAAATAAAAGCTATGTAAACTATTATATGAGTTTTTTTTTTCATTTTCTATTCCTTTTGACTGAATTTTCATGATCAAAATGGTAACATCAAATATCCATTAGTAAAGATAAATTGTTATTGACTGGTGACAATTCTGAGAGGAAGAAAGCGAGAGAAACAGAGAAAGAGATGATGATGATGATGATGATGATAATTCTGTTGCCATTCAGAGCAATCTGATGAAAGGAAAAGTAGATCTAACAATCAGTTTTGAGCTGATCGCATTTTAAGGAGGAGTAATTCAGTGTATGGACAGAATATGATAAAGGAATGAGAGAGTAAAAGCTTGAAGATGAGGATAAAAAAAAGAGGAGAATTTTTTTCAACCTCGATACTATTTAAAGGTGAGCAATTTGATTCTACAAAATCAACTTACCCAAAGTTGAAATGACAAGTAAATGTTTCGTTGTAAATTGAAATGTGAACAGGTAACGTCAACGAGAAGGGAAAAAATAATAAGAAAAAAAATTCGATAATAGGTAAAGTATCAGGTAGAAATCAATCGAATATCATTAAGAACTTACATAATTGTTGACATCTTTTTCTTTTGCCCTTTCTTTTCTAATTTGAGTCAGGAAGATTTCATGTTGAAGGTAATGGATGACATGGTGATGAGAATGAAAAAAAAAGTTCTGAAAGAGAAAAAGGATAAAGTTTCCTTTCAGTTTTTTTCTCTCTATTCTTCTTATCATGTTTCTCTGTTGGTATTGAACTTTTTTCTTCTTCTTCAGGTTTTTTTCAAAGAGAAGATGAAAAATTTACTCAAAGTAAGAAGAAGTCGAAATTAGTAAGAGAAAAGTGCAAGTTTGATAAGAATCGATGCTGAGATTATCAATTCACGCTAATCTGATATTACTTTTCATTCCAAGATTATGATAAAGTCTATTGAATTTTTATTCTATTATTATTTTTATTTATCTTCCATGATAATCTTCATCTTAACCTTTTTAGCGAAGAATAAGAGAAGATGAGGAAAAAAAAAGGGAGATGATGATAAAATATGATCTTTCTTATTTTTCTCTTTCTTTCATCATCTTTAAGATGAAGATAATAGTAAAATGTATGAACTTTTCTGCTCTTCCAACGAAATAAAAAAAGTTTCCAATTCAAATATGTTATCATGATCAGAATCAAGAATTTCACTTTAGAGACCATGGGTTAAGATGATTCATTTTCTGATTTGATTTTCTTATCAAATTTTCTAGATATTCATTGCTCTGAACAATCCAAATACTCATGATGATCATCTTATTATTTATTTTGCTCTGTTTTTTTTGTGAATAAAAAATTGGAATATTTTTATCAACATAATTTTCTTATTCAACTTTTTCTAATATTTTTCTTAATAATTCTTTGATTTTCTCCAATTCTCAGATAATCGATGAGATTATTATGATATCATCATGATACATTACGAAATAATAACAACCTAATTAGATAACGAAATATTATCATTACATTTTAATAGTGATTTTTGAATTCTCACTCAATAGTGTTTCTATTTTCAGTTGAAACTTTCGTTTACTTTTCCATGAGGATTCAATACAGAGAATTAAATTTCTTCAAAGATTATCATCATTTAATTTGTCTCTCTATTTTCTAATTTTTTTAGGTTCTTGCTAATCGTGATTCTCAAATTGACAAGAGCTATTTACGATCTGACCTTTCGTCGGACATGTTACGTGAAATCGATGAACTTTGGTTCCATTTACTTTCGTGTATCGATATATACAAATTAAAGGCTAACGCACTTCTTAATATTGACTTCATGATGTCCGCAGTTCAAAGTTCATCAATTTCATATTATCGATCAGTATTGGAATTGGTTCGTGGTCGAATCATTGATTGGGAAGTTGATCTTTTATACCATATGACCAAACAATCGGTCAACATTGTCTCTCAAAATACTGACCAATTATCAATTGAGATACTTTTATGGTTAAGACCTTTTGCTGCTGCAATAGCAGAATCAACAAGTGGATTATCAGTAAACACAATCGGCTCAAAATTGATGGCCAAAAGTCCGACAGATGTAAATAACCATGATAATAATAAAGATAATAATAATAATAGTCCAGCCTGTGCACCGATAAGCCGTTTCTTTGAATCTAAATACCTTGAGAATCTTGTTCGCGATACAGTTAATTGGTGTTCTCGTTATCCTGGTCCCATGTTAATACCAATTAACTCATGGCTTCATTTACCTCTTCCAATGCAAGTCTCTGTGATATCATGTCCATTTCCGATAACCCGTGCAACCTTAACAAGTGACCATCAGAATTTAATCTTTTGCAATAAAAAGTTACTTCATTTCTTTAATCTTGCTTCAAAAACTTTAATTAAATCGATCGAAGGTAAGACTTTTTAACTAATCACAATCAAATTAATCCAATTTGATGATAACCAAACACTATTAACATTAAAAAAAAAGTAAATATAAAGTTGAAAATTTTACTTTTTACATAATCAGATTAAATGTTAATCATTTCAAGTTACAATAATATTATTAGATTAAATTGTTGATGATGTTGATTTAAGATACAACAAAAATAATCAAGACTTAATCAACTCAAATTGAAAGGTTGGGAATAGGTAAAGGAAATTTAATTTGTCCAATCAGCTGATTAAAACTTTTTTTTCCAGGCTTATGTTTACTTGGACTTTGTTGTTGTTGGACGTTTATTGAATACGAAAATTTATTGGTTTTTTTTTGCTTCTTTCTTTTTGCTTGACCATAGGTCACCGAGAAACCATTACGTGCCTAGATATTTCCTCGACTGGACGTTATCTGGTTACAGGTAGCGAGGATACTTCTGTGATCTTATGGGAAATTGACACGGAAGGTGAAATTGAATGTAACATGAGATACCGATTAGGGTAAGTTGATCGGTTTGAATTTCTTAAAATCTTCTTAAAACTCAGATTATCTCTCATGAAAATCAATCCAGAATTATCATAGAATTCCTTTTTATGAATATTCTGGTCTACCATCAGTTTGATATTATATTTATTGACCTTTACATAGTATAATCACCTTATAAAACCATGGGGAGTGTTGATGGTTGTTGATCAGATATTATCATGTTTAGATAATTAATCACCAGAAAATTCAACACCAACATTGTTGGGTCAACATGATTTTGGATGACATGAAGTCATCAACAGGAGAGACAATAAATTTTAATGATGTTATCATGAACCTGAGTTTATCTTTCATGATGATGAAAACAATTGTTTTCTTTTTCAAATAATTTCAATTTATTTGATTAATCATGTTTTCCTTTTGTTTTCATCTTCTCTTTTTGGCTGAATACTTGGTGATTCTAATGTTAATACAGTCACCATGTAGCTGGAGTTTTGTGCACAGCGATAACTCATAATGAAGAGTTCATCTTATCAGGCTCTGAGATTGGAGCGGTTTGTGTTGTACGATTAGAAAGTGGCCTTCTAATTGGACGACTGGAGCATCATCGTGGTATGATAACATGTATCAAAGTTAATTCTGATGATGATATTTTCGCCACTGGGTCAACCGATTGTTCAGTAACAATCTGGTCTCTGGATAGTTTCTGTGTTCTCAATCAAATCTTCCTACCCAAAGCAATACTTCACATGGACATTTCAATGGATTCAACTTTCCTCATGCTTGCCCTGGAGGATAATAAGGTTCACATAAGATCCTTAATAACAGGATCAGAAGTTCATATTTTATCAGTAAGTATTTTTCAAACTTCCTCTTTTCCCTCCCTTTCATCAGATTTCATGGATAAGAAAACTAAATCAAACCAATTATTATCATTGCAACTCCTTGTAACCCAAATTGAATATCAACAACTTGCCCTTACCTGGTTACTAGAAAAGCTTATTCAGTTATCTAGGTAACAGTCGAGAAAAAAATGAAGCTTATTACTTAACCTCACAATTTTATTCAACCGATCTATCGGTCTCTTTATTATTATCAATATCGTCAGTATCTTAATAGTTATGCTTCAAACTTTAACAATGTTAACGATTCAAAATAAATTCATGTTGGTTGATCAATAATTCATTATGAATTAATGATAACAATGAATTAAAACCTCGAAAATAGTGAAAAAAAGTTCTAAAGGTAAAAAGAAATCGTTATTAACAAAGGTAATTATCGATAACTTTATTGTAAAAAGTTTACCAGAATATTGGGATTGAATATTTTTCCATGAGAAACTTTTACCTCAACTTTTCAAGTCAGAATAAAATCTTACATTATTAATATATTAGTTATAATATATTACATTAGTTTATTGCTTAGCCATTGTATCTCTTAATTGAATCATAAATGTTCAGGGTACATGATGAACAATTAGCTAACTATTAACTCTTTCCATACATATATATATGTTTAATACATTTTGATGATGGAAGTAAAAATTTCCATCAGTTAATTGAACTGATAATCAATTGGTTATCATCATTTGGTGGGTTGATGATGAAACCATTATTCTGGTAAAAGTGTAATTTCAATATGAATCACGATTATAATCAATCAAAAATTGAGTCGGTTGTGAGTTAATCATTGTTTTTATCATCATTAATTTTCAGGTAACATTTAACTTAAGTGTTGGTGGTATTGTTTAAGTTTGAATGTGAAATTTTCACCAGAATAAATTGTGTTCATTGTGTTCAAGTCTCTCAAATCTCACGAAGTTGATTGAGCCAAGAATCATTATTCTGACATGAATCTTTCCATGCTGATGATGATGATGAGATATACTGAGTGTTTCTCATCATTTCAAGTTCATTTACTTTGTTCACTTTCCCTCATACCTTAATTGTACTTGTGATAATTAGTTTTCCTCATGAATTCTGTGTAATCACTGAGTTTTTTTTCCAGTTAATCATACTGAATGAAACTCTTAATTGATTTCTAAGGTGACGGTCATGACCTTTTTTTTAGTTGTTAGTATTTCTAGTAAACTGTAATAATCATAGCATGGTCAGAGCACTTTGACAATCGTAACTGGACACTTTGTGATGAAGATTAGGAGGAATGATGATGTTGATATAATCTTCAGGTCTATTGTTTTACCTTGATGAGGTTCTCAACACTTATATTTGATTTCCTTTGCTCTTTAAATACTAACTGGTCAACAGAAGTAAGAAATATAATAATATATTATAACATATTAGACTGGACAAGTGAAAAGTAGGTCAAGTAATTCATTAGGAGTGAGTCAGACAATCAGGAAAAACATTGTCACTCTTGTTGATTTTGCCTCTTTAGCTGAAACTATCTGCTGGGAGTTTTTTTCCACCTCAACTCTTTGAATAATTTTCATGAGGAAAATGAGTATCTACCTGTTCAGTTAATAAATTCAAACAGAATTATAATCATTAAGTTGAACTTTCTCTCCCTCTCTTAATGACTGATGTTGACTTTTTTGCCTCTCATGTAATCAGATTAATCGTACAACAATTTAGAGGAAAATTGTTGAGGTAAAAACTTAATTTTTTCCCATCAAGATGAACAAGAAAAAGTGTCAAGATGTAGTTAGCATTTTGTAACATCAGTTGATGATGATGATAATTTACCTGATGACATGAAGATAGAGTCAGTTTGATATGAAGTTTCAGCACGAAGTTTGAACTTTGTTTTAGATGAAAAGAAAATAATTTAAATATATTGGAAAAGTAAACCAATAGACTCAATAGAAATTGACCATCACGATGATATTCTGTCAAAATGAAATTAAAGAACCGAAACTGGATGAGCATCATCATCAGCTCTTCATGATGATGATGATGCCGAATGATTAAAAAGATGATAATTCATTTATTACTATGATGATGATCGGTTATCATGATACAATAATGATAAGATAAAAAGATCAGTGTCATTTGTTTTCTCATCAGCTAATAATCATGTTTATCATTACCTTGAATCAGAATTTCTTATCCCATGATAATCATGATAACATTCATTCTTGACACATATTATTATATCTTCAATATTAGATTACGTTTCCATCAATACTCATGTATAATGAAAATCTTTGGGTGGGTATTCATCTGTTTCCAAAGTTTGCAGAAAACTTTTTCATTATAATGATAATATTTGTATTTTGTTTTCATTTCATTTGCTACCAGAATTAGTATCAGGAAATTGTCTCGATTTGTTTATCATTCTCATGATTGTATGGTTTGAACTTGAGATGAGGAGAGAAACAAAATTCTGGGAAGAAATATTATAAATTCTAAAGGGGATTGGATCAAGATGATGGATTCTATGAGATTAAATTTGGGTTCAATTTGTTTGATTATCACGCTAATATAAGGTTATCACATTTCTCATTTCATGGTAAAAATTTTTACCCTGAAATGTTCAATGAAAAGTACACGATAAATATTCAATCAATATACTAATAGATAATCATATTTACCTGTCTGTTTATTAACATTTCCTTTGTCTTATCAATTGTTTTTCTAATGGTTCAAAGGTTATCCTGTCATAACCTTGTGTTCATGTGAACCTTTTGTATACATAATATTCATAAATTTCATCTTCTACATGATTGTACCCTTCATGTTTCACTTTGATCCTTCATTCATTTAGAATTGAAGGGAAAAATAATTAAGAAAATGCCATTAATTAGGCGATGCAATAAATATATAAGATTCTCATATGATTAGACTTGGGATTGTAATTAATTAGCTGATTCTGTTTACTTGCAAAGTCATTGAACTTGATACACATGATACTCAGTTTCATGTAAAAAGAAACACTCGATATTAAAGGTTATATTACTTGTTCCATGGTGAACTTTTTTTCCACCATGTTATCTGTTCATTGTTCAAACATGATCATCATCATGAAATGATAACATGTATATATAAGAAGTTAAGTAAACATGTCATGAGTTTTATCGTCTATTGTTTCAGATTTCAATGTGAAGAAAAAAATTCAAACCATTGTAATGATAATTTCCCATTGAAATTGCAGGAAAACTTTTCATTTCTCTCAGTTGGAAATTGATAATCATCATGTTATCATAATATTGCAACTTTGAATAATCTTTTTTATTTTTCTCTTTTATCCTTTTTTGTTATTTTACTTTTTATTAGGAACATCAAATCAATTCCATTGTGAGTTATGTTAAATTTGCTGAGGATTCAAGTCGAGCCATTTTGGGAACCGGTGATGGAAAGTTACACATTTACGATGTCCACTCTGCCCATTTGACCCAAACTCTCACCTCTCATCAGGATATGATAACTTCCATCATAAGTCAACCTTGTGATAAATATTTACTTACCTGTGGAACATCAAAAATAATAATCTGGAACTTTTATGCTCGAAAAAAGGTTGAATCTTCTTTAGGTGTTTCTTCTGGTCCAGTATCTAATTTGTATGCAACAACATCCGCATCAATTGTTAATTCATCAACAAATATCAATGCAAATTCATCATCATCAACAGCAAATAATATCACCAACAATGAACCAAATAACAATACCAATATAAACCTTAATAATAATAATACTAACCTTAATTTCAATGCAACCACAACAACAACATCAAGTATCAACACCAACAACAGTAACTACAATGTTAATAATAATGATATTATAAATAATAGTGTTAATGGTAATAATAATAAGGTAAATTTAAATGCTTCGGTTAATAATAATAATAATGGTAATTTAATTGCTCCAACCAATGGTTCAACTGCGATCGTTTCATCATCAACGACAACTTTAAATGCAAATTTAACTAATTCACGTACCATTGGAAGGTCATCTTTGACCCAATCTAATCGTTCAGGTGATCAAGACTCTTGTACAAATATCTCTTCTCGCTCATCTTCCCTGAAGGTGAAAAAGTTTGAACAACATTCTGATCCAATTACCTGTCTGTCAGTTTCAAGGGATGGCACCTATGCAGTTACAGGTAAGTTCAGGGGTCTTTTCATGAGGATGAACTTTGTTTTACTTTCTCTCTCTCTCTCTATTTGATATTGACATCCCTTCAGGCTAATTGTTGAGTTACACTTTTTAACAATCTTGTTTCATGTTATCGTTTTTCTGCCCATTTTCACATAATGTTTACTTTTAATTGAATTGATTGTTACTAATTAATTTGTTAGTTATCATTAGTTGTTGCACTTTTATAATAGATAATTTTTTTAACGTTTAATTGATTATTGATTTCAAAGGTAAATTAATGATTATAAAGTTGTGCTCATGGATTTTACCTTAACAATTTGATTTATTTTTACTGATAACTTCTTAATCAGTTGCATTCATTTTCAAGATTGATAATGTTATCTGTGAGTGAGTTGATTGTCTAAATGTTACAACTATTGAGAAATAATTAGCTAATTTAGTTATCATTATCAATAGATGTGATTTAAAATTCTGGTCAGATAAAGTGATTAACATCATAATGGTGATGATTAAGCTGATAATTACCATTGATTTACTTTTCTCGAAATCATTTTCAATTCATCTCATGATCAACTATTATAATCTCAACAAAAAGGCTGAGAGAGAGAGAGAGAGAGAGTTAATAACATTACAATATTGATTAACTGTTATTATTACAACAATTTAAAAGGTTCTCGAGATTTTCTGGTCAAAGTTTGGAACCTTTCCTCTGGTGAAACTCATGCAACCCTTTGTGGTCACTCTGGTTCCATAACCTGTGTTACCTTTTCACCAAATGGTTTTTTCTGTGTCTCCGGATCGGAAGATAAATCAATCCGTGTATGGTCACTAACCCTTGGTTTGAAGGTTTTCATTTACACTGACCACTCAAGTCCATTGACCTCAATTTTTGTTAGCAATGACTCTCGACGAATACTTTCCGTTGACACTTCTGGCTGTCATCGCCTCTGGAAAGCCGATACAGGTAACACTCTGGTCAGTACGGTTAAAACGGTCAACATGGTCAACATGTTTGGTAACACGGTATTTTCAGTTGGCGGTAAAAATGATAACAGGTAAGTGACCACTCAAAGTAAAAACCTTTGACAATACCTAATGAGTTAAATTGAAATGAATTAATTTCAAACTCAATTTGTGAAGTTAAAAAAAAGCGGTTTCATCAATATCTCATGATAGCCATGAATTGATATAAATTCAGAGTAAACACCTAATCGTTAATCCTGTTAATCCTTTGACAAAAGATTTTCAAGTCAATCAGTTTTGAATTAATCTCGTTCCATTAAATTGTTATCACTATTAAACACTTATCACAATTTAATCTACTTTGCAAACTTTGAGTTTGAATTTCAATTCCAAATCAATTGTAATTATACAGGGGAAAAAAATGAAAGCATCAACAGTTTTCATCTAAATTTGATTAACTCTAATTCTAAATTTACATGTTCATAATTTCATGAGTATTCAAAGTTTCCATGAATCGTTCAATCTGAATATTGAATCGTATCTAAAACCAAACTTGAACAGAGGTAAAGAGAGAAAAGTTAGAAGTAAAATTCAAATCAAATGTTGAATTGAAAAGAAAATTCAATCAATCTCATCATGGAAATCATTCTGTTCATGATGGTGAACATAAAGTTTACCTTTTACTGGTGAGAAATTCAATGATTGCAATAGAAAATCAATTTAATCACCATTATAGTTATTCAAGTGGAAAAGGGTAATGATGAATATATAAAACCAACATCAACAATTTGAAAATCAAAGAGAAAGAAAGAAAGAAAGAGAAAAGTTCTGAATTTAAAATCGAAAGTTGAACAATGAGAGAAATTGAAAGAAACGAATCCATTTACCATTCTCATGAAATGATAACATCATGTTGGTTTCAATTTTCGTGTTGAAAATCTCTTGATGATGTTTCCTCTTTAAAAGAGGTTGATAATATTACCTTAGGGTAAAAAGAAGATTCTTTGGAAAAGTTTTTCTTTCTAACTGTACATCTCTTTGGGTATAAAAGTCATCAAGTTTTCCAAGACAAGAATAAGATAACATGATATTATTTTGATCTTTCTGTTGAAATGCTGAATAATAAGCATTGAGAATAAGTGAGTAAGTGAATGAGTGAATGAGGGATACAAATATCATTGCGATCAATAAAATTTCAACCAGATTTTAGCCTAAGGGTAAATCTTATATTATCATTAAAGATATTTGGATATTTTGTCTACTCTCATCGTCTTATCATCTTCTTTTCATCTTTGTAATACGTCATCATCCTAATTTTTGGCATCTTTAGGTTAACCATGTAAATAATATCTTGACAAGCTTATCATTACTATTTAACCTTTACCTTTTCACCTTGAGTTTCTCATTCTGTTAGGTTACCTGATAGATTTTGTTATCGATTCATTTGGTTAACCTTTACTTGAAATTGTCTAATTGTTATTGTTTTTTTTTGTGTTTAATTGTGTCCAGTTTACGATATTGGTCAGTTTATGAACCCGATCTTGAGAAATCAGTTTCTCATAGTGAACCGATAACATGTTACACTTGTACCTACGATGGGTCAACAATTATCACTGGTTCACAAGATATGTCATTAAAGGTATGGGAAGTGTCCACCGGTAAACTGACCCAAGTACTTGTTGGTCATGAAGAGCCAATATCATGTGTCTCCTCGGCTCCATTAATCCAATCAATGGTTGTCTCTGGATCACAAGATTGTAATCTAATTGTTTGGGATACGACCACAGGTAATGTAACCTTTACACTTACTGGACACACTGCGACAATTTTATCGGTTCAACTGTCAATTGATGGTCGAGTTGCCATCTCTGCAGCCGAGGATAATACAATAATGGCCTGGAATGCACTTGAAACTGGTCAACGAATCGCTCTGGTTGATATTCATCACACAATTTCCCATATCGGATTAAGTTTAAGTTTAAATCAAATTGTTGTACAATTAAAAAATAATAATCTACTTCCTATCATCAAGTTTCATAATAATCCAGCCAAAACTATGACACTTGACCTTCCGCTTCCGGGAACACCCAATGAAGATAAATTATCATCGCACCTTAAAAGTTTCCTAACAGGTAATAAATTTTATTGATTATTCACAATAGTAAATACTTATTTCCAATATGTATGATTAACTAATTTACTTTTAATTGTAGGAGCAAATCGTAAATTGGTTGGTCGTGGTAATCTTAAACGAGAGCAATCATTTGATTCATTTTGCTGGGATCAACTTCACCGAGGTGTTAGTATTGATGATTTCAGGAAAATATCCGCTCTTCAGGCCAATACTGGATCACCGATGGGATCTCGTGATAATCTTGCCACAGCGGGTATCATTTGGGATGGTACAGGGGTCACATCAAGTTTAACGGGAAACGATCGTAACTATAATCGCCTCTTAAGACTAAGCAATAAACCCGCTGGACCAAAGCAGAAAATGTTGAAAAAACAACAGTCCATGTTTGCCTTTTTCCCGGAACATTCAACACCTTCAACCTTTACCACCACTGTACCCACCCCACCAGTTACAGCTCTACGTGTAGCCTCATCCATGGTACCTACAGGGTTACCTTTAACTGCTTCTGTTCAACTTTCAACTATACCAACAACAGAATTACCAACCCAATTGGCCACAACATCTTCTACAGGTCAAAATGTAACCGATCCCATCACTCATTCACCACTGGTCAAACCATTGACACCTAAAAAACTGACCCATGCACAAGGTCGTCCACCTTCAAGATCACAAAGTCTTGAGGAACAACAAACCGAATCTGTATCAACCAAACTTCAAAAACAGTCGAAAACTTTTGATCCAAATGTCCAAGAAAAATAATAATCAACTTAAATGTTATTATAATCCTTTTGCCATTGATAATCCCTTTATATTGTTTATCTAAAATTAAATGTTACCTCACACAATACAAACAATGTTTGTTTTTAGTAATTTAAAAGCACCAAAACAATATAAAAACAACAACAATTTAAATCTCAACAGTAAAATCAAATTAATAGCAGAGCACAAATTTAGACACAAAACTATTAATCCCACATTCAAACAATTAAAACTAATCTTTGTAACTTTATCGATCTCTCAATGTAACAATTAACCTCGTAATTGTAATTCAACCGATCTCATACAAACTAAACACTCTCCCCATAATAATAAATATTACGTTTATGTTGTAAAGTTTAAAGGTTATTGTTAATAAATATCTTCTTTTAATTGACCATTACTGATGGTCCATCAGACAAAATAAACTTTCAAATTCTGGTTCAACAGATTTTCTGTTCGGTGCTGCCATCTGACAAACAGCATTGTAACTACACTAGAATGTGAAATTGACAATAGATGGAAGCAGATGAAGAGGTAAATGAGTTTATCCATTTAGATGATAAATTGGATCTACAATTGTAATTAGTTACAGTGATTAAAGATTATCTTACTGAATTGTTAATTAATGGGAAAATTAAAATTATCCCCACACAATTAATTGGGATAAACATTTACCGTTATAAAAGTAAAACTCATAAATGATCAACCGATTAACAAGCATCTTAATGGTCTCTTGCAATAATTTGAGTATTTTTGTCCTCCACCAAGTAAATTGTTTGCAATTCAATTGAATTTTCAAATGCAAACTTACATTAATGATCAATTTCAATTCAAATAATTAACCTTTTATTGCCTTTTTTTTACACAACATTAAGGGACAGGGTGGGTCTTCCTCCTCCTCCTCCTCCTCCACCTCTTAATCCTTTCGCTTCCTGATAACCCCTTTGGCTCAATTCATCTTATGTAACATTATGGTTTCTCCAGTCACTCCAATTGAATAGCTGAATATGAGTTAAAAAAAACACTATCACTAAATTGTCACCATGATAATAACAATCAAAGGGTTAACAATGTCCCTAATTATATATATGAACTTTTTTATCGCCGAAGAAAAAAAATTAATGTTCAATTGTAACAATTTGGATTCTGTAAACATTAACTTTAGTAAATTGTGAACCCTTTGATTATTTACAATCAACTATTTAATAATTTACTTTTACTTTTTATTACTTTTGCATATTGCAAAGTACAAATAATTTCAATTTTGTTACATTGAATCAACTTATTGTTGAGCAAATTGCAATTGCTTTAATTGCTTCAGTTCTGAGAATTGTTATTACCAATTATCAATGATAAATAAGCTATTACAATAGAAGTGATTAACTCAACAATTAGTTTACAGTGTAAGATGTTAGTTTACGGAAATGATTGATATTTTTACTGTTTTTTTACACAATTTTCATTTGTTACTATATTTTTTTTTGTTGAATTTTTTGGTTACAATCAGTTGATTGTTTGACATTTGTCATTCATAAGTTGATTCAGTGATCTTGTTTGAGTAGCGTATCAAATGAGCCTCATTAATAATAAAGTACAATTTATGTATAATCCTGAATCCTCCCCACTAATCTTTGGCTTGAGCGTAACAAAAATATTTGTGTTCCTTGAATTTTGAATGGCCAATGGTCAAAAGTTGGTAGGATGGACTTGGAGATGGAACATCAAAAGACAAGGGAAAAAACAACAACAAATATCAAGCATTTCAGGGGATTGGGGAGGGATAACTGTCTCAACTACTCAATGACATTATATCAAAGTTAAAGGTCAATTTACTGGACTGTGAAAACATTTGAAAAGGTTACTTGTTAATAAGCATACTGATAATAAAGCTTGACCACGCGAATAGGGAGAGAGAGATATGGTCAAGACTATCATCACTGTCATCAGACTTACACATTTGAGTTGAGGTCAATGGTGATTCTGAGTAGCCTCATGGTTATTAAGAGAGAGAGAGAGAGAGATATTCAAGTTGCCAATCAAACGGGAACGAGTTATAATTGACAGTTTACAAGCTCATAAAAAGGCAAAGGGTAAGTTTTATCTTGAGTGACTTGAAATTAAATGAGATGAGGAAGAGAAATTGATGAATATGAATGTGATGGTACAATTATAATGATAATCATTGGAAAGGGTAACAAAAGAGTTGATCAATTTACACAGAGGAGTTTGAAGATGAGAGAGAGAGAGAGAGAAAGGGAAATGAGACATTTTGATGATTATTTGACAAGTTGAAACCTTAAATTTTCCCTAAATCATCTGACCACATTCAAATATATTCCATAGTGGAAAAATCTATAATTTCATGTTCTAATAACATAATATCTTATGAGTGACCATTATCATCCCAAGAGTGACTCCCTAGATCCTATCCAAGAGAGAGAGAGAGAGACTGGGAGTAGAAATGGGATTGATACTATAGGTGAAAATAAGAATCGAAAGATTTGAACATAGAATTCGAGAGAAAAGTTCTAGCATGTATATGCTGAGCTCGATTGGATTCTATTGAAAACTATCAAATAGGAAGATGATGGAAAAACGAATCAATCGAAAAATATTATTCTATTAATAATATTCATACATGATCCACTTTTCATCTTCCTCCTTTTCCTTGTCATCTTTAATTTCATCTTTTAGAACAATGTTTTCTTTAGTAAAATGTTATTCTCCCTCTTCTATCATCACTATCACTCCCTGTGTATGATATTATTGTTAAAAGTAATTTGGAACACTTTGAAATTTGAATTAGAACTCTTTTCATCTCTCTCTCTCTCTCTCTATAAATTGAAGATAATTTTATTACCATCATCAACATGATCATTATCCCTTTAAGTTCAATACCTTTAATCACTCTCATAATCCATATATATTCATAATCTTGAGCTAATGATTAGCCTCTTTTTTATTTGATTATGACACTAATTGACTTTAATCAACTTTTATTAACTAGTACAACGGATAAAAAAATAGGAAGTAGTAAATTGTAATCAAGTTAATTTAATTACCCTAAAGTTAATACCCAATTCAATATTTGACTCTAATCTAATAATCACATGTTATCAACACTGGAACATGAATAAGGATTGAAGTTGAGATTAAGGAGAGTTAACAAATTATTGATTATCATCAACAAGGGATTTACCGTTAGAGAGAGAGAGAGAGAGAGAGAGAGGCTTGTGATAAACTTCCCTCTTAATATCATCTATACATTTCTATCCACTAATCAATGTGAATAATTAATAACCTGATCCTAAACTGTGCTGATTGATTTTGATACAAAAAGTTAATCATTTGGTACATTTACTTGAAATTGTGTTTCTTTCTGATAAAATATTAAATTGTCATTGATTAATCATTAATTTAAGGTTGGTTGTTTTAATTTTTGTCAAACAATTTATGATTATGATAATCACCATGATAATAATCAAACCCATATGATAATCATTATCATCTTAATTGGTTAATGATAATAAATATTAATCATGTTGCGTGTTGATTGTTGATTTTGGTGAATTAGTAAAAATGAAAATGAAAAATTTTTTGCCAAACTAAATTGTTATCAATTAATTGTTGATGTTGATGTTGATGATGATATTAAGTGATGAATTAGTAAGAAAATAATTGGAACCGAAAAAGTTTCAAATCAATGAACCATTTCAATGATTATGTTTGTGTCTCTATTCATGGATAACAATTATGATTATGATTATGATTAAAAATGATGATCCAGAAAAAGTAAAACAAATGAAGATGATTATCATTATTTACCTGTACTAATCAAAGTAATGGTTAATAGTTGATTAAATTGTCTGATAAATGATTGATATTGAATTTAGATTGCTATTATTTATCATCCGGTTTTACTGGATCATCTTATCAATATCATCATCAATTGATTGTTTATCATCATCGTCAATATATATTGAGCTTTAATCATCATATTCCAGGTGTCAAAGGTATAATATCAAAGGTATATAATTAGTAGACTAATAAGTCACACTTTTATGATTAATATCATTCCGAGCGTATCAATATTGCTATTGAAGGAGCGAAAATAATAATCAACTTAAATTGAATTTGCCGCCCAATCAAAAGGCTAAGAAAATGAAAACTAAAAGTTAATCATTAATGTTAATTGTATAGTTTTCACCATTTAAATTACAACAATTTAAAAAGCTTATCAATGGCTATATGATAATAAATGAATGATAAAGATTGTAAATATGATGATCAGATGATCATTTTCATTGACACTCCTTAAGATCAATTTCCGTTTCCTTTCCTGATCACTTGATGTTTATCATTTTGAATCAATGAAAATGATTAATAGTAACAATGAAAATCCATCTAAAAGATAATACTTGAAACCTTATTAACCAGATATTTGTATTTTCATTTACGATCAATGATAATTTATTGTGTGAGTGTTAATAATTTTTTAACCTGTTCACAAACAGTATTAGTAGTAAATATAAAATGTATCAATGAAAAGTTTAAATGTGTGAGTGTAAGGGTCGGTTCATCTCAAGGAAAAGGCATAAGTTGAGGTTGGGTGGGTGGTAGAGAGTGAGTGAGTGAGAGAGAGAGAGAGAGAGAGAGAGAGAGAGAGAGAGAGAGAGAGAGAGAGAGAGAGAGAGAGTATGTATGTTAATATTAACAAGGTTGATAAAATTTGAATGAAGAAAATGCCACGTACAGCTCGTTGCACGTGCTAATAAGCGTGAGTTTTTCATTTCCATATTTATATAAATATATATATGAATGTGTAGATTGATATAAACATATAAAAGTTGTTTATTTCCGTTTCCAATAATAATAATAAACATTAATCCAATTCTATATATGTTTGTAAGTGTGTTTGTCTCATAATTATAAGGGTATACAATTGATTGTAACAATATTGTAACTTTAACCACCACAAGGAAACTTGCAGTTAATCATAATCCACCATAACACTTAATTGTAATCAGACATTGGTGATAATCATTACTGCAGATTATTATTATTCATTTGAAGGAGAAAAATAAAATCAGTTAAATCAAATGAGTGTAAACTCTAAATTGTTACAATTTAATCAATAATTGATTTGATCGGAAGTTTTTTTTTCTTATGAACTTTCCATGATTAACATGATAATTAATTGTCATTATGATTGTTGGATTTTTTTTCTCATGTACTTTATTAGATTTAGATTGTGATTAGATTATAAATTGTAAACTTTGTAATATTATCACAATTATCGTGGGATTTGATTAGAAACAATCATCAATTTTTAATTCAATTGTAATCATGGATTAACACGAGACAACAATCATAATCATTATTGATCAAGAGATGAATAGGAAAACAATCAATATCAAATC